GTGCGCATCCACAATAGTCACATCGCAAAGATATTCAATGTCCAGTCTGAATTATAGTTGACCAGGAGCTACACAATTGTATTTAACCACTTTATTTATATGATTTATGCAAAAAACACTTCTAGCTTAGAATTTTTGTCTTGTTTCTAGCCCAAATATCTACATTTCAAAGCGAAAACAAGATTATTTCACTTACCCCACTGGAAGATAATTTCCTTAAAACAAGCTAAATCTCTTAATTTTCACTTATTTCTTCTGATGGTGAAAACCAAACTATATTTTACTTGGACTAGCATTTTTTTTAAATATTTGGAGTAGAGACAAAACAAAGTAAGATTTTTTTTTTTTTTTTTTTTTAGCATTTTGTTTATTTAATTTCTGTACCGAATACTCTGACTCCCCAGAATACTGTCAAAAAGAGGTAATAAAACCTCTTCTGAAACTATTTATATTGCAATATTTATAGCAGAAAATTAAAATATCAGATTTATCTAATGTAGTGCAGCCCTATTATCAACCTATACAGTAGTCAATATATGAGCTGTATCAAAACCTTTCACTAAAGATACCCAAAAAGTATTAAATAATATAATACAATAATAAAAAAATGTTTTTGATTCACTTCAAATGTTGACCACTGTTTATCAGTTGATGGCCCCCAAAAATAGACTTGTCAGTCATCAGGATTGGCCAAAATGTGTATCTTCATTCAACCCTAATGCTTTTATTTATTGGCTTCTGTAATGAGATATTTGCAAGGGAACTGTTGTTTCCAATTAAGCTTCATTTACTGTCTCCCTTTTTAAACTAGCATATAAACTCAAAACTGTCAGATTGAATGATGACAGAATTGTCATTTTAGTATCAACTGTATCTTTACACTTTGAGCTTAACAAATGTATTGTGGTGGTCATGGAAGAAATGCAGTCGTTGGTGTTGTTTTAATGATTACAAGTCAGTAAATATTTGCAAAGACTTCACAGTGCCTTCATAACAGCAATTAGCGGTTGGTAATAGTAAACACACCCACATATACGAACAAATGCACTTCAAACACCTCCACATACACATACTGTTTTAATTATACATGATTAGGAGCTCTAATTCCGTTCATCACATTAGGATTTAGTATAAGCATACAGTGCAGCCACTAATATCAGAGCTGGAATATGAAAGGGGTTCGGCTTATTAATTCGACCACACAGTGTTGGTGCAGTACCAGAGCTGTATTTTGGCTACTGGACGCAACAGGTGAGGAGGAGAAGGAAGGTCACCTCCCAAAAGTGACTGCAGGAATAAACAAACCCCTCCCCCCCACAGGTCTCGTCTGGGCGAGCTATTTGTGGAAGGACTGTCATTAGGATGAACATCCCTCCTGGCTCTCTTTGCCTCTCCGTGTCTTCCTCTGTCTCTCTCTCATGTCCTTTAGACAGTAAGCACAGCTGTTCCTGTGGTGGAGGTTAACTCGGGGCTCCGGGCGGGTTCGTGCACTTCGGCCGATCTCTTATTAGTTAACCGCGGGATGTGTTTAAACACCCCCTCACACACACACACACACACACACACACACACACACACACACACACACACACACACACAGAACAGAGCAGACTTTTTAAAGATGGTCCTGAGAGGTTTGGTCGCATCTGGCAGCTTTAGTTTGGACTTGAAACTGAACCCCCGCGGCTGTGCGGAGAAAAGACAGAAAATGTTTGGCGACAGAAATTTCACATCAAAAGCGCGTTTAGGCTGATCCAAGCTGAGATAATGTGCAGTCTGGGCGCTGCCTCAGTCGGAACGCAAAGTATTCTGGGCAACAATCTGCCATACTGGATAAACTTTAAATTAACACTAAGTAAAATGCTAAAGCCACTGGGAATCTTGCCTAGGGAGACACTGCGGCCCACCCTAAACCTTAGCATATATTAATTCCTCATTAGCATACATTAAATCCATGACTGCAAGCGTAACATGATGCGGAGAGCCGACGTTTCTCTCTTTCTCTCTCTCTACACAAACACAGGCTGTTATAAAAGTGGCATTGGTGTTGTTTTTCTTAGCGATCAAGCTAATCTCCAGCAACATTCGCAATTATTAGCATAGCAAAGGCAAGCTGAGAGGCCCGTGGTGATTTAACAGATAATTACGCCCAAACTAAACAACCTTCAGAGAGAGATATAGAGATGTTTGGGAAGAAGGACAGGGGAGGGATGGAGTGATAGATGGAGAGACGCAGGGCATGTAACCCTGCTGGGATCTCATTCAGAGTCTAGACTCAATCTTTTGACGCCATGCTGCCATTAAACGAGTGACAGGTCATCCCTTTATTCCCTCGGGGAGAAGAGAAAGGCTTAATTTAACATTAGGGGTGTTTGTTTGAGGTGTTTTTTTGGTACCAGGATGGCGAAGTAGAACTATTATCCTTCACGCACCCGGAAACAAACAAGTTTAATAACGTTATTAATCAGATGAGGAAAAGAGCAGCAATATGGCTGAGTGGATATCAAGAGAGGAAGGACATAAAGTAGCATGAAATGGCAGTGGGAAGACAACTGGTGATTGCGAAGGCAGGCAGACTGAGCAGCTAAGGCCAGCTGTACTGCAGGGGGAATATCAGAGCTTTAAGTCTAAAAGTAGATTTGGGATTTTCTGCGAGGGATTATAGGTTTTATTGTGAAGCTGGGACAGGAACATCAGTTCCCTGACAATAACAAAAAAATGACCAAACAATGCATGTGGAATGGTCTCATTTGAAAATCTTTGTATGTACCACGGTAAATAAATATGGTAATCATTTGGTACCAAGGGACACAGTTTGGTCTTTGTAACATTTTTTTCCTTTAAAAAATATTGTAAATAGTGAAATATTATAAAATAACTGTTTTAAATATTAAATGTGGAATAATTATATTTGAAATAAATGTAAAAATGTTCCACTTTATGTGATGGAGAAGCTGATTTTTTTTTTAGCAGGTGTTACTTCAGTCTTCAGTGTCAATATCGCAATGTGCAAGGCCACAATAGTTATAGGGATCTGCAATGTATTAGGGATTATAGTTGACCAGATATTACAGTTAACAACATAGCGAAGTAATTCCATATTTTAACTTTAGTGGAAGTTTATTATTTGTACAATATAGCGGCAGCCTTATTGTTATCGGCTGATAATTACTATTTTATTGCTATCATTAATGATCCGATATCAAAATAAGGCCGATATCTTTAAGCTGATAGATTATGTAATTGTACAGAAGTGCCTTCCTCGTGCATGCGCTGGCAGAACTTGCTCAGGCTTGTACAGTGCACTATAAATGAGCTTACCTTACATTTTGTTCTTTCAAAGTCTGTCATTTTTTTTGTGTAGTATTGCTGTGCGTTAATAACTCAGTAAGTAACCATATTCATTATCATTGTAGCTATGTTTGATAGAGTGTTGTTGTGTATTTTGGTTTAAATTCCCTTAGGAAAAAATACTACATGTGTAAACATAAAAGCAGCGATGCACACTACCTAAACAACTCGTTGGGTTGTTTGTAATCTAATATGATTATCTGTTATTATCAACGCGCTGTTTGCCATCTGTTGTTGATGTAAGATTGTATTCGGTTTGATCAACGTATATGAAATGTATAACTGTACATTTATAAAATGTAAGTTTTATTGTACATTTTGTAATTATTTACCCAATTAAATCAATACAGTAATTATTTAATTTTTGCTTCTAAATACAGTTTGACTCCCCAGAAAATCATAAATCATTGTTTTTTTTTGCTTCTTTTGTCTGCTGTATATAACTTTTCTTGTCATTTTTTAAATATTTGATGCAGATACTCTTCCCAACAGTCATCCCAATCGATCTAAAACTATGAATTCTTTACAAGCTATTCAAGTCATCTGCTGAAACTGGATTTATATATATATCGCAGTAAATAAAAAAATTGCAATGCCAGAATTTTCCTATATTCGTGCAGCCTTAATTCAGTGTCACTTGATCCTTCAGAAATCATTCTAATATGCTGATGTTCAAACATTTCTTACATTTCTACTGTTAAGATGTTGTGCTTTTGTTATATTCTATTTAAAAAGTTGATGCATTTATACAGAATTTAACATTTGTATAATTTTTTTTAAATATAAATGTTTAGCAAACTTTTAGTGACACCTTAAAAGGCACATTTGACAGCTACCTACCACAAATGCTTGCCTTGATACACTGTAGTTACTATAGTACCAAAGTATTACCATCTTACAATAATCTCAAGTACAATAGTATCACAGTAAAATAAATAGTACAACTTTGTTTTCTATGACATTTGTTATGATAAACAATAACCTAAAGATATTTAATATACAACTATTGTCTTATTCACAAAAAATACATTACATATACTTTAGTAATAATAAAAATAAATATTACAATTCGATGTGACTTTCTGATATTTATGCCATTATTTTTGCTACAAGCTGGTGATGTTGGCTGCTCTCCTCTGCAGTGTTGTGTGGAATAAAAGTATAAAGTGCTCAAGTAAACAACTACTCCAGCAAAACGCATTAGCTCATGTATCTCTGTCTTTTCTTTTGAATCCAGCTGATAAATGGTCCATGCGGCACAAAGTTCAAACAAGTAGTGCTGTTTTGTTCTGTTTTTTGTCTTATTTGCAACAATGTCTTTATTTACCAGTGTGACCCCAAACAAAATGTAGTTTCACAGGCAGGAAAAATGTAGCAAAATTTGACCATTTACTCGCAGTCTAGAGCCCTGTCTGGGAATAATATCTTCTGAATTATCCCCCCCCACAACACTCCTGACCCTCGGCAGATATAGCCTTTAGAGCTACCTCAAAAATCACTTCTCTTTATTTAAGCATAAGATGTAAAAGCATATGATGTAATTTAACAAGAGCATCACTCTGAGTTAAATGCTAGTGACCTGCATCTCAGCCAAAGCAGCTTTGGTCACGGGAGATGAAGCCCCTCGGGGAGTTTTGAGCCCCACTGACCTGAACTTTCTGAGCCTTGCGCTTGTCAGCTCTCTGGTTCTGATGGTAGATGCGGCTGAAATTGGAAACTATGACAGGAACAGGCAGAGCGATGACCAGCACCCCGCTGAGGGAACAGATGGAGCCAAAGATCTTCCCTGCTATGGTCTTCGGGACCATGTCTCCATACCTGCAGAGCAAGAGCAAGAAAATAGAGATGTTAGTCACTGAAATATGCACAGCCTGCTTCTACACGTGTTCTTTCTTGTTTTACAGAATAAAAAAAAGGCCAGACTGATACATGATATCACACCTACACAACTCTGGCTGCTCGTAATAATTATATTTCATCTGTTTTTATTATTACGTTCCAAATCATGAATAATCACAAAGACTTGCTAAACATATTTGTATGGTTTTACTGCAGATTGGCAGTTCCACATGCCACTTAATAGTACCTTGTAGACAAAGCAGGAAAATGAGTGTGATGTTGGCATTATAGGTGGCAGATTTAAAATGCAATAATGATTACTGATGCAGGAGGTGAAAGAGGCGTGAATGGAATGACATTTTCAGTGGAATATGCTATTGTACCGAGAGCCATTTGTCTTGTTTGGATAGGCTTTTATTTTGAAAACAGCTTTGGAAGTTTAACAGTTAGTTTGGAGAGATTTTAAAGCATTTTGTTTGGAGAAACTGATATTTATTAGAGTTAAAAAAAAAAAAGGAAAATAATATTTTTTTAATTTGTATTTTAAACTTTGTAAGCAACAGGCTTTGAAAAGATTTTTTTTGGGAAGGGTTTTGTTTGAAAAGCTGTTTGTTTGGAAAGCATTTTATGTAGAAAGCACGTTGTTTGAGAAGTGTTTTATTTCAAAAGCTCTTTGTTTGTAAAGTATTTTGATTCAGAAAGTGGCCTGTTTGCAGAGTGATTCATTTGTAAGCTGATTTGTTTATAAAATCTCTCCCAAGACCATTTGTTTACAGACAAAGTCTTGAAAGCAGAGTTTGGATAACATGTTGGAATACTGTGAATAAACAACCTGTAGTGTTCTGAAAAAATCTTGTTTGTAGAAACAATGCATCAATAGTTATGTTTCCATCCAAAGATGCAAATTAAATGTATGCGCAAAACAGGATTATTGCTTAAAAGACGTGCGATTTAAAGCAGCGTTTCCATATAATTAGTCAAAGAGAACAAAAAATTGCACTTCCTGATAGCGCCAAACATTAACAGTAAAAACTGAATTTGCTGTTGTAGGAGAAGCTGCATGAATCTTTTTTTTTTAATGTAATGAATTACTTTTGGCTGTTGCATTTGAAGACGTGAGACGTGAAGCGCAGAAGCTCTTGATTCTGGAGGTAAGTAATAATAAAATAACACTAATACTGAAATTGTTAAGGCATATTAGAATGATCAAAACTACATTTCCAATGTTTTACAAAGGACAAACCAGCAGGCTGAGCACATTCACACACATTTTTATCATCACATGATCTCTTATAACAAGATCACATGACATTTAATGCGCTTACTGGAATTTGTTAGGTAGTTTATGCTCATCTTTTCTTTCTGAATATAAAGTTTATCCTACTCCTGTGTTTATGCGCATTTTCAAATGCAAATTATTTGCATCTTGGCATTTAAATCAACCATTTATTATTTTTCTGCGCATATCCAAAATGCGTATAAAAATAGGTGGATGGAAATATAGCTCCTGATTTTTGTTTTGTAAACCATTTATTTGGTATATGAAAAAAACAATTTTTAGAAAGCAGTTTGCTTGAAAAACATGTAATTTTTAAATGTGTTTGCATGGAAAGTGTTTTATTCCAAGGGGCTTTTTGTTTGGAGAGCTATTCATTTGTCAACTGATTTGTTTCTGAAGTCTCTCCCAAGGCCATTTCTTTACAAACAGTATATTTGTCTGGAAAGCAGAACATAGTTGGATAACGTGTCTCTCAAAATCAGGCCAATATTATTTTGTAATTTTGTACAAAAAATGGGAGCAAAAGCCAGTGGAAGATAAGGAAGTCATTCAAGATGTTTAAATTAGAGCATTTAAATCCCCCAATCCAATGCCCTGGCTACTTCAAGGACATCAAATACAATTCGCTACAGTTATTTAAAATGAAAATACAATTACACGCACCACTGTAGATCTTTCTCAGTCTGCGTGATGGGCTGCCATCTGAATTCAGGCAATGAGGTGACTTTTTTTTTTTTTTTTTTTTTTTAAGATAAGAAAATGGCTGACCGAATTTCTATTCAAACTAATTAAATGGTTCAAGCTGGTTTTAACTAAAAAGAAGACATTAGTTTAAAAGGCTACAGAGTGAAGTAATTGGATACTGATTGAACACAGGGAAAAAGAAAATGAATCCGAAGCACCTGGTGGAGCAGAAACTAAGCAAGCATAACTTATATACACATAAAATATTAGCATTGTGCTACTAGCATTATGGGCAGATGTTCAGAACTAAAACAGTGTTCTGCTAATTTAAGTTCATGCATTGACTGCAAGTGAGGATTTAATTAACAGTGGATAATCCTGTTCCTTCATTAAATGAATGCTGAGCAAGTGAGGCACAATTCAATCAAACACAATCGGAAAACATGCAGCCAGCCATAGGAATTTAAATGTCTCAAATACACAAAACGACTCATTAGGAGGCGAGAGCAGTGAAAGGAATATTTTGGGTTCAATGCAAGTTAAGCTCAAACAACTGACAAAAATTAAGGTCATGTTGAAACGCTTACAATTAGGGCTGCCTTATATCTGAAAAACAAAAAAAAACTGACACTGCAATATTTAGTTTTTCTGCAAATGTACATATTGTCATATTCAGGGTCGGATTTAACCAATAAGCAAGGTAAGCGGCCACTTTGGGCCCCAGGACATCTGAGGGCCCCGAATAAATAGTGTAAATGATATCTATTAACTTATATATAGCATCATTTTCTATCATGTTTTGTAAAGTGCGTAAAACATATGCTGGATAAGTTTACGGTTCATTCTGCAGTGGCAACCCTTGATGAATAAAGGGAATAAGTTGAAGGAAAATGAATGTATGAATGAATGAAAATCGCAGTTACTGAACACCCCTCGACTCAAAAAAAATAAAAAATAAAATAAATAAAGAAACAAAATGTGGGACTTGATGCCTCCAGTGCTCTTAATTGAGTTTGTCTTTTATTAAACGTGAATTACACATTTAAATAAGCATGCTATGTATACATAAAGATAAAAGCAGGTTAATTACTGTAGACTGATGAGAGATTCAAAGAAATCTTTGTCAACACTTAGAGGAAGTGGTTTATTCTACAAATCTGTGTCGAAACTAATGTTTTCCCTATTTTTGGAGGCTCATTTAACACTTTTTCGAAACTCATTTCAAGAGTCGATTAGAGTGTCATTCTAAGAGGACTGGATGGTGCCACATGGGAATATTTCTGAGCCAGAGATCTCAGTGCGTTATATAATCTAAACTAATTTACACATTACACATGCAATATACACTAGCCAAGAATGCACAATACAATCTGGGACGGCGAGACGACGCACACAAAAAAATAGACCCAACTAAACACCCAGTGGGATAGATGGCTTAACAGCTCTGACTACACAAACTACAGGCCGAACAAAAGCTCCCTATGGACTGAGTTAAGGATTACGGCTTACTTCTAAATGACTGTGCTGTGTATTCATGGGTAAATTCAGCATTTTCATTCTGCTTTGAACTATGAAGACAAATGCGTGCGTCTGAATGTCTAATGCTTCAGCAAATTATTAGGAAGCGTGTTTTTAGACTGTCTAACCTGGAGCGAATCACCGTTCTGGAGAAGAATCGCACCTGAACAGTGTGTTTACCCCAAAAGACAAAAGCTGTAATTGCTTGAAATGGTGTCTGCGTGAAGTATTCAAACACTAGGATTGGATACGTTAACACAAACGGCGTAATTCAGTTTTTTATTCCAGTGGCATATTTTCCAACATACATAAATGTCATATTAAAGGAGTTGCTTTCTGAATTTCACCGCTCAGAAGTAATATCACAGAGAACTGCTTTTCAAAGAGGCATTTGTAATTCAGCTAAATGAGAAAATTGGTTAAGGGGGTGAATACTTTTGCACGGCACTGTGTACGAGTGCGTACGCTCAAAGCAAATGCTCTTTGATGTGAATAATAGATGTTCAGGCTCTTGCAGCTGGCATGTGTGTGTGTGTGTGCGCGCGCATGTGCGTGTTTGTATGGCCCATTCTGTCTTAATGTCTCGCTTGATATACACAAAAAGGCTTCAAGTATTTAAGGCATCTGATTAGGCCGCTGTAAGAGATTTAATGGTGTTTGTAATCAAGACTTTGACCTTTATTCATCCTGCTGTATCTCGAATGGATAAATTAGGCGATAAGATCCACAGTAATGTATTGATTGTAATCAAAATCCTTTGCATTATGCAGAATACCAGCGCACACGCATACAATAACACAGCAAAAAACGCTCCGAAAATTTGCACATGCAGCTTTTTTTTCTGCTTTCTCTCCATTTATCTCTGTTCTCGGAGTGTATCGGCCTACTGAGGTTTATATCGCATCTGCATATCTGCTTATCTATTTATTCCACACCTTCATATCTGCTCGGGATCTGACTGAAAGGGGAATTTTAATGGGAGAGTGAAAACAAAAGAGAGAAACAAACGAGTGTTGGTTGTTTTGACTGTCAGACCAAAGGTATCTGATGCTAGAGCTACATGTTTGTTCGGAGACTTCACTGAAGTTTTCTTTCATTTATAGTGCTAATAAGAAGCTCCGCTCATCTTGACATCAGGGGACTGATTCAAACCCCTGTCTGTATCTAAGAGAAGTAACGCACATTATGGCTTATTGTGCCTATAAACACAGTAATGCAGTTTGGTCCAGATGTCATAACTACACCATTATGAGGCACAAAGGTAACTCTGTATATTGATGACTGACTATTTGAAAGCTATACATAAACTGTGAACAGTTTTATAGTGGATGCTTTGCTAAGTATATGTTTAGTTAGTGCTGGAATTTGTCGTTTTAGTTGTGTGATATTCTGGTAGTATCACCTCGGGATCCATTTTGTTATCCTGCTGTATGTATCATTCAGAATGCAGCATTTCTCACAGTAAGCATCATGGCACAGGAGCAAACCCACTATTATT